TGGCTCACTTCCATTGCTATCGAGGAGTATGTACGCCCACACGGGAACTGTTATACCATCACTCTGCTTTCGGTCCCCGAGTGAGGCTTTCAAAGCTTTGCGTCCCTGTAGAATTGCCTGGTCGAATGTGGGTGTAGCAGGAGAGAGCACTTCCTCTATGACTGCGAACAAGCCGCGGCGCACTAGCGTGGCGTTCAGTCTGTTGATGCAGCGTTGCCATCGTAAGGGCAGTGTCGCTTGAATCTCCTTTGCAGTTGTCATTGATAGGCGATACAGTACTATTGTTGAACTTTGAGATCTGGGAAGTCGAGAGCAAATGCAAAATCAGAGCCGACTTAACGCTAGTGGTACAATCGACGCACAGATCAGGCTTGAAGATCCCGTAGCAGATGAACCGCCATACACCTAAGTCGAAGACCTCATACCGCTGAGGCGCTGACTGCGACATACTCAACGGCGTGTGTGGTCATGGAAAGCTCCCAGGTACTCAGGTACTGATAGAGTATGTTCGCAGAATTGCACCAGCATGCACTGTACCCAGGAGCTACTCAATGTCGTCTACGGAAACAAAAGCTTAAATTAAATACAGCGAATACCTCCCGGGTACCTCATGGCTAGGCTACACCTTCTCCATCGAAAGCGCGCTAGAGCCACGCTAACCCCATCCATACAATGCAAACGCCGCGATCAACACAAAACGCGACGCGACAACCGACTCAGCTACCTTACACCGAAAGCACCTGCTTCAATCTCGGCATTGGTTCCAAGGGCCATGGAAAACCAAGTAGGTGCGGCCGATACGGCCCTTGCCGAAACCCAAGCCCGTGTCCCATTTCTCCATCATCTCCCTGTCGCCAAGGTCCGGCTTGTCGCCTTCGTTGACCATAAGAACGAGCGTCCAAATATGATGCCATTTCGTATGCTCTTCGGCACCATCAAGGATGGGAAGGATAAAGATTGCCAGGTGTGGATTCTGCTGCAGAACGACCACGCCGCTGGCCGCTCACCCGAGCAACGCTTCAACATCTTCGACCGTCTCGGCAAGCTCCGAGGAGGCATAAGCGCGGAGGAAGCGGTGAGGTAAGTCATTCCTGCTTTATGAGCTAATGTAGAACACGTACTGACCTCTTCAGACTTGTTCTTGAGGCAAATGCGTTCAAGTGCCTCAAGAAAGCGGGCACTATGGATTTGGACCAGCTCCGCGTAGTGATCAAGTACTACTTCATCTTCAAGGGCGTTAATACACCAGTGCCATGGATAGTCAATGGTTACTTCACCACTTGGCTGACTGCGGCATGCAAGACGGCTGGAGAGTACGCTGTAAAGGTGGCCGCGAACATTGAGAAGGAGAAGTCACGCGCCTCTGCTGCACAGAACGCGTACAGTACCAAGCCCTCTGTCTCTCAGTCTAGGCCAGAAGGAGATCGCTCGGTGGTGAGGACGCGCGTTTCGTCCGCTCAGAACGTGGACGGTGCCAGGCGTTCGGTCTCTCATTCTGGATCAAGAGCGGGCTCGGTGGTGAAGGTGAACGGCCAGCCTGCAGTAGTCAGCCCCCCCGTCAAACTGGCCAAGGCTAGACGCACTCCTCAACCTACCCCACAGCGCGCTCCTGTGGCCTCTATGATTCCCGCAGTACCGAAAGAACCGAGCTTGTTTATCCCCGAAGGCGATTCTCTCAAGAGGGCTCGCACCATGACCCCGGACCTACCCAGGAAGCGAGTGACTACGAGCACACCGCCACCGCGATCGACTCCTTCAGCGGTTGCAGTACAACCCTCGTCCTCAGCAATGGTCAACACAGGCCAAGGTTTCCTCATCCACTCGGACCCCGTTGAGGCAGACAGCAGCGACGCCATGGACACTTCGCGTACCCCGTCAACACGCCGGGAGTCTACAGAGGCACTCGTAAGTTTCACCTGATCATCTAGAATACGTTATATACTGACAAGCTACCAGGTCGAGAAGAGCCCCAACTCTCAGTCGTCCATTGACTTCGCTGACGCCTATCGCGAAGCCCTCGACAAGAAGAGCAGGTGCAAGGAAAACATCATGATCAACAAGGAAAAGCAGAAGGACGTGCGGAATGAGATCAAAGCTCTTGAGACTCAGCTAGCCGACATGCAGGTGGAGGACCAGGAGCTGAAAGAAGAGAACCGGCGCATTAGAGTCGAGATGAAGCATCTTCAGTCGTCACTCACCTCGAAGGAGCGCGCTATCTTCGTTCTTGGAGGCGAGATGATGATGAGAGCGTCGAAGTGGGGGAAGAAGGGTGCAAAGTCTGAGACCGACAGCAGCGAGGAAGACTAGTGTACGCTTTGCTAGTACGGCGTTAATGGCTTGGACAGGGACTCTCTTGGTACCGCGGTAGCCGCGCCAGTAGCAGTACGACCAGTATGACGTTTGCAGACTACGAAGACTCTAGAAGTTGCTGTAATCTCGTATCTATCGTATTGTATTCCACACGGTAGTGTATTCCAAAACTGTCCTACATCATTCATGCGTCCAAACTACAGCGCCACAACGCTCGCGTTCCATATTCAAACTCCTCCTCCAGCTCCTGACATCAGGCTTCCAAAGGTCTGGACTAGTAGGTCTGCTTGGTGTCTGAAGCACAGATCTTGGCTTCGCGTCGCCGAGTATTGCCAGGCAGCCCATCTGCGTGCTTAATCCGCGACTTCGCATTTCGTCATTCGATGCTTGTCAATCATCAGGAGTATATGGGTATTGTGACTCCTCAATGACCTCTAAGGAAGAATTTGTTGATAGCGCGATGCTCCGGCCTATTCGATCGTTGGTCCTCGTCGTGGAGCAAGTTTCGCGCTGCCGGTCGGTGCAGGCTTTCGTTTCGGCAGCGAGGGTAGTAGTGTGTAATGACGAGGATAGATATGTGGTCAAGTAGTTTTATACGCGTTGCTTCCCGTAACTCGCATGAGTGCGCAATGTGATCGTTTGGCTGCCGTCCAGTAGTACTGCGATGTTATGTAGCGACGTGCCAGCCACGACGTCCGCAACCCAAATGATACCCACGCGACGAGGTTTGCGCGAATAGACGAAATCCCGAAGTAGAAGCTGAGAGGACTGGTGACCGGAATGGCGATGTTCTTCGCGCCTGGGTATCAATCGCAGAGGATTGTAGTTCCTATCTGGCGACTCGTCGTCGTAGGCTGGCTTGTGTGACTACTCGTAAAGTGATGCATCCACTTCCATTCATATCGTTCGTTCCAGAAGATGGCAGTACGTCGACATCAGGCCATGAATCGGCTTTGAGCTCAATCGAGTCTGGCAATCTTTCTTGCGGTGTCGAGGCGACCCAGCTCGTAGGCCTCTTCCCTCGACAACACATTCCAAAGTCGGTCCTTCGCGACCTTGGCTTGATGTCTCTCAGCGATGAGTAACTCTACAGCTTCCGCCTCCATATTGATTTCTTTCTCAATCTCCGACCTCTTCCGCTTCAGGTCCTCTATCCGGCTGTTATGGCGCTTTATGTTGGTGCAGGCGGTCTCCATTCGGTCTTCGAGATCAAAGTAGCGGTCGATTCGATCGATTGGGTCCATTGGGTCGAGTGGTTCGATCAATGTAGCACCACTCAATCTTCGTAAGTCATCATCGCGCTGCATGCTGTTAGATGACGTTCATTACAGCTGATTCTTTCGTAACATACCTTCGCGTCGTAATCGGTAGTGCTGCATGGTGAGGGTAGTTGATGGACTGATATCGTTGACTTTGAGCGGGCTCTTTGACTTGGAACGACATCTGAAGGTTGTTGAGGTTCAACCAGGGCTTCTAGTGATCGTTCTCGACCAAAATATTCGGGGACACGAACTCGTAATTTGACGATCTTAGATGGAGCCTCACTACCAAGCATGGCTTTGAGTAGTCGGTTTTGTTCAAACGTGAGTTTCGGTTGGTATCTCTTCGTCAACTTCTTTCTCGCGAAATAGTATGTGGCCAAGGCCTCCAGCTTCTCCGGGGTTGTGGCAAGCTTGAACCAGGCACAGGGTTTCGCTTTCTCCAGAGCCTCTTCAACGGTGATGACTTGAGGCTTGGCGTTACCCTCGGGGTAGTAGATCTGCCAGATGAGGGACGTCGTGGCCTTGTCCAAGTAGATCCAAACATCAGCTTTCTCTCCCGTTCCACGGATCTCGCCATATAGTAGCGCTGTCTTCACAGTATTTGGTATCTCGTTTTGTCTCATCCAATTGAGATCATTGAATGAGAAGCCGTCGGAACAATCCATGATTTGTTTGTGGGGTTGGAAAGGGCTGTGCGGGCTCTGAATAAGTACGGGAAGCGTGTGAGAGGGTTGGAGTGTAATGTTGTCTTGATAACAAAGCTTCGAGTACTATGAGATATATTGGGAGGTACAAAATAGAAATCGTCACAATCGTTGTTCAGACCGCTCTTCCCTTGGCGCGATGTGGGTCGTTCACAGATGCTCGAACATGCGTGACGTGGTTGGCGTGAACGCAATCGCACGTGGGCCACAAGGTATCAATAGGTCCCAGGTTAAAATTCTTCGTACGCACTGGAAGCGGTTGAGGTGGTATTCCATCGCGAGAACGCGACGCGAATTTACGTTGGGGAGCCAAGAGTTTTACCGTTGGCGCATTTACTGATTACGTCATGCGTCATCCAACTTGCGGGGGCCACTAGCTGATTCAGGACTTCTGAAACTCAATTCACAGCTCCTTCAGTTTCTCCCCCTTTCCATCGACATACTGCCAATTAATTTGAATCAAAGCATTGAGATGTTGTAGAGAGTCCATCTGTTACCAGTTCTACTTCTGCACACACGATCAATTCGCCTCTACTGTTAACTTGAGCTACCTAGGTATCCTCCTCAGGCCACGTCCATCTGCAGCTAGTCATCCCTTGCTCCTCCCAGGTCATGCAAAAAGAACGCAGGATCTAACCCCGCCATTTCTCTAACCAACCATCAAACATGCAATTATCAGCACCTCCAAGCAGTGCGTCGGGGGTAGGTCCGTGCCTTCCGGAGACTACTCCCGCCGTTGACGCTTAGTTTCCATCCTCCGTCCAGCTTCAAACCCAAAGTCCAGATGCTCATCTTTATCTAGCTGAATCTGCAGCTGCTTCTTCTCCGCTCGCACGCGATCTTTCTCTTCTTTCAAGTCGCCCTTTCGGTTCTCGATCGTGCTGATGTCCGCTTGTAGCCCCGCTACTTGGTCCGCAATACGTACACGCTCCGTCTCCATGTCGCTGATCCTACTATCAAGATCTTCTTCCCGGGCTTTTAGCGCAATGTATTGATCCATCATCGTCTCGCGATCGATGTCGTCCGGGCGCGCGCCGTCGGCTGGTTGTACTTGATCTGCTTCGTTGTTGTTACTAACGGAAAGGTCTCGCATCTCTTCATCTTCATCTCCCGGGCGCTCGTGAAGGGAAGGCTGAACCGACGCGAGGAACGGGGAAGGTGGTCGGGAATAGGATGAAAAGTTGCTAGATCCTTCGCGAGGAGCGCTGCGCTTTTCTGTCTCAGGCCGCGGGTCGAGATTTGAGCCCGAACTGTGCCGGCGCTTGCGAGTGTCCATATTGCGCATGCTCTTGGGACGGGATGGCGCGCGCGACACCGGCCTTGATGGCGCTAACGAAGCTGCATACGAAGGTTCTCGTGGATCTTGGAATTGCGAAACAACACTCTGATCGCGACCTCCAGTAGGCATGACTGATGAACGACGGCTTGCTGCCTTGTTGGCTTGCGTCTCGTTATATATGGCTTTGTAATGCTGACACACGCGCATAAGGGCCTCTTTGAACGGGCCAGACGACACCGGATACTGCAGTTGCATATCGATACCTCTACGGATAAAGAAGTACTTCGCGATAGCTGCGACCGCATCGTAGTCTTTCGCATGTTTGAAAGGCGCTGAAGCTAATGCGACGTTCTGGACTGAACCCGGACGCACGCCCGCCTCATGGCCTTTTGCGCCTTCGATGGTCTGGAAGGTTATCATCCGGTAGTCGTGGTGGCTCTTCTTCTTGTTGTGGTAGTTGAGGGTCCAGTAGATCCAGAGCGAGCCTTTGCTCTCCATCATGTCGCCATAGAGGAGTCGCTCGGGCGCTGCTTCGGCGATCTCGTTCTGCGGCTCGAAAGTGGCGCGCTTGTAGGGTAAGAAGTTGAGGAGAGGGGCGTCGTCGCCAAGGTCGCGCTTGAGTTTGGCGTAAGAAGGGCTGTCGTCGGGTTGGGGGGATGGGGCGGACATGGTGGTGAGAGTCACAATGGCTCGCGGCTTTGGAGTCTCGGGATAGATAGCGCAAATGATGCAAAAGCGGAAGGAGCGCCTACTGCAGTGTTCAAGAGAAGCGGTCATATACTCGGAGGGATACGCTAGTCACAAGAGCGTATTAGTCGCTTCTGAACCATTCACTACCGCCGAATCATTCTTCTGCTATCAAATGGGTCAACGTTGCAACCAGGAATATCTTTTGTGTCTATCTTTTGACCATGGATGAATTGGTATCTTACAAGGATACCATACATTGTACGTTACAATTACACAAGTAAAGCGCTACGTAGCCTTCTGGGTAGGCTATGCTCCCCAGGTATTCAAGCGTATCGCTGACAAAACAGGATGACGAGTCCTTCATTCTGGGACATCAATCGAGCTTCCGACGCTTCACTTCACGCTCCATCGATCTACCTGCCTCAAACGCGTCCGCAGCACTCATCCCTTTCAATACCTGTCCCCGGCGAATCTTGATCGATGCCCTTTCTTCGTCATTGGCCCGGAGCTGCTGCTCCGTCCGTTGAAGTGCTTCTTCCACCTGCTGAAGTTTTCCTGCGATCTCTTGGCGCGCAGCCTCTAACTCAGTTTTCTCGTTTACTAGATCGTTGTTGGAACTCTGGAGCTGGATTTCCTCGTCGATAGCCGCGCGGAGAGCATCAACCCGCTGGGAATTCGAAGCCTAGAGAAGTTAGCACTAGTACAAGTTCAAGGTATTTTAGCCTGCTTACGGGGATATGAGAAGGATTCGGAGTGACTATTGAGACCGACTCTACTGGCTGCTGAGTAGGCTTAAGAAGGTCCTCTGGTGCATCGCTGAGATCGCTACTATCACCGTCCTCGAGTGTGTCTGACTGTAGTCCTTCTGCTTCCTCCTTGAACTCGCGGCAAACGACTTTCAAGTTTTCCGAAAGCGTCTGATTTATCGGTATAGGTATCTTCAGCTCACTGGCGCGTCCTGTCTCTGTCTCCTCCGCAGCGAGAGCCATCAGAAAATAGTACTTCGCCAACGCCGCGTGTTTGCCCTTCGTCGCTTTCTTGGGGTTGCGGAACGCTTTGGCGAGTGCGGAGACCGTAGTGCTGATGTTGCTCTCGTCATACGTGACCAAAGCCCCCGTATCGGGATGAGATGAGTGAAACTGAACTCCAGCATGTCGTTTTTCGTTGATGGGTGGATAGAGAAGTACCCAAACTTCTTGCTGCGTCTTGCTTTGCTCGTCGATGATATGACCGAAGTGTATTTTGAAGGAGATGGCGCTAGGGTCATAGGTCTGTGGAGACTTGATTACCTCGTCGTAGGGCGCGTTATCGAGCAGAGCGCCCAGATTCGCTTTGATTTCGGCTAGGTTGTCGTTGGCTACAGTCATGTCTTGGAAGTGGATGATTATACCTAGGTACGTTCCACCTCTCCCTGCTGAATTGATCTGATTAAGTAGTGTTAGGAGACTGCAACAAACGCGTCTATTGAGTAGTTTGTGTGTGCGAGTACATTCATGCTGCAACAAGGGCTGACTAGATTAGTCTAGATTGCGCGCTATGTTTACATGGAGCTTGGACCCTACCAGAGTCTACCTAGACAGCAAACGCTTGACGTGGACGCGCTGAGTTGAGCAAAAGGAGTAGGAGCGCGCGTCAAGCTACTATTTCTCGCATGGCTATCATGAAAGTGTTTGTATCCCTGCTGCTCCGTCGCTACAGTCTCCATATCACAACAAACACACTGACGTCCGGGAAGTGAAAAGATCATGACCGTGTCACCCATTCTCGCGCGACATTCAATACCATCTGCCATCTTGACCTCAGCCCTTCTTCCGTCATATCGACCTAATAGCCTCTCTTCCCGTATGGATACTCTTGCCTCTTCGACCATTTCTCAGATCTCACCTTGTTACTATCGTCAGCACCAGCCACCCCGCCCTCCCAGCGCACCATCTCCTCGTCTTCAAGACGGTTCTCCTTCTCTTCACGGCGCTTCGCTTCTACCATCTCCGCCTTGATACTGGTTTGATGCTGTCGTAGTTTCTTCAGTCGAATGTAGTGATCCTCGATGTCATGCAGTGTCTTTTCGACGCGACTATCAATGACCTTCTTTTGACGCTGAAGCAAGGAAGGCGACACGACCCGATCGAAAGACGAGCTGGAGCGGAGGTTGGCGATCGGGTTGCGAGACCGCTCTGCTTTCCGCGATGTGCGGCGCTCACGACGATCTCTACCTACTCCCGGAAGAGAAGCAGTCGCAGTACGGAACGCTCTCCACTCTACATCATGCCGATGTTTATCGGGGAGTGGCTCTGTCATCGCGAGGTGCGTCAAGCTCGCGCACTCGTCATCGGGCTTCGAGGCGTGTTGATCCGGGAACGAGTAGACGGAGTTGTCTGTACCACTCAACAAGCTGCTCTGGTCGCGGTTCGAGAAATGGTCCATGTCTTTGTAACCAGAGGACACCGAGCTTTGCGGTGACGATCCTAGCAGCGGCCAGTCGATTTCATCCGACATGGATTGGTTGGTCTTCAGCTCCCAACTTTTTCCTGATCGCGCCTTGGTAGGTAGAGCATCTGGATGCAGGTTTAGCTCTTCAGCCATTGTTTTCAACCACGAAGAGACGGCATTGCGCGGAGAAGTCGAGCCGCGAACTAAAGCTTCTTCGGTTCGGTTGAGGGTACGTGGTAGGGCTGATCGATAGTTGCTTAAGAAGGCAGTGATAGGTTTACGCCGTCGTTGAGATGAGATATGCGAAGATGGCTCGGCGGCGAAGCCTGGCATTCGAGAAGCTTGCTTCTCATATCTTGACCGTTGCAGATTGGCAGACTCGCCGTCTGCATTGCTATTGTCGCTCCTGCCTGGGTCAAACTCGGATGCGTCGATGCTGACTTGCGGAAATTGATGGACCTTTGCTACACCCCGCTCTTTCTCATAACCTGGAGGACGCCGTCGATCAAACTTCGTGGGATATCGTGGAGGTGGCTCCTCATGGTATGTATATCCCTCTGTGGAATGCGTCGGTGTCCGAAGATCTGGTACATAATGTAGGCATAAGCTGGTCAGGTGCTGGACGAAGGACCTGTTCAATGGGATGAAGTTATGGTGAAAGTTCTCCACTCCTGCCTCCACTGCCAACAGGTAGTAGTACTTGACCACGGCATACAGTTCGTCTTTTGTTGCAGCTTGTTTGAAGGGGAGTTTGGTTGCGACCCTCTGCTCAAATATGGCCTCATACCATGTAACTTCCACAACGTCATGTCCTCCATATCCGTGTCTTTCATCGACCTCCATAATGAACTTGGGACCGATTGAGGAATTCGCATTCGGACCGAGGTACGCATACACAGGGTTGCCCCACTTCTTTATGGATCTGTCAGTGTAGGTTCCAAGTACCAAGCGCAGATTTGCTATAGACGATGGCTTGCTATGTCTTGAGAAATCCATGTCGCTCAAATCGGGAAGCCTCGCAAGGAGAGCGGCTGAGATGTGCTTTCGGAGTGCAACGAGTGCATCGGGACCTGCAGAGATAGTCTCGAAGTGATCGACGGGGTTAACGTCAGGTAGAGATGATTCCTTGGACAAAGGTGTAAATTCCTCATCCGATTGCGAGTTTCGGTCCTTTAGTTTGAAAGAAGTGTCTTCTCGAGCTTGGTGAGCTGTGCGATGCGAACGAAGAACTGGTCCATAGCCCACGTCCTCGTCGGGATATATGAGGTGATCGAGAGACACATCGCCGGCGCCCGGTTGGCAATCAGAGTGGCGATTGTGGAAATTTCCATTCTGACGTTTGTTGTAGTTGGAGCTGGTTGCATGCAGAGGCTGCCGACGTCGTGGTCTGACTGGCTCGGAGCCAGAACTGCTGGCTATCTCTCGAAGTCGTCCTGGAGTGTTGGAAGGAGACATCGAGGCTGGAATGCGTATGCGCAGTGATGCGGGCGATTTTGCTTTGCTGTAATCTGCAGAAACTCGTTGGAGGGCCGTCTGGTTTGGGTTTCGAGATAGGATATCGCCAGTAGCAATGACGTTGTAGTTTCGCCGTCAAGGATGGGCCGGAGGGTACGAGTTCAGAAGAAAGCTTACGGGCTTGATGACCGTTGAAGAGAATTCCTGATGACTTCCGGGAAGAGGTGTAAGGGTAATAGCGAACAGTGAGGCTTAGTATTGGTATGTGCGACAGGTTTCTGGCAAGGCGGAAACGCTTTTGACTGTACGTTATCAGCTGGACTTACAACACGAGAGAGAAAGAGGGCTTATATAAGGAGCGAAGAGTCTACGCCAAGTGCGCAAGACGCCTTCATTGAGCTGGAAACGGTGAGAGTCGCCACACAAAAATCTCTTTCTTTCCACTTTGGGGTTGCACCCCAAGTCTCGAGTGCAGAGGAGAAGCCCTACAAGGTCCGTGTTACTCATTCTAGACTGGACCCGCGGGTGCCTAGAGTTCGCGCTGTTTCAAAAACCTCACGCGAACTTGCGATGCACTGCTAGCAGGCGTCTCCGGAGTGTTCTCGTCACTGCTGCCATGAGTGACGAGTTAATCAGGGCCTTTGATGACGTGGTTAATCCGGAGGTGTCGAAGACAATAAAATGGAACGAAGATCCACACTTCGAATTGGGAACGCGAGAGACCATACTGTGAAGAGCGCAAGTTCCCAAAAGCTTGCCATTCGATGCAGCGCTGTACACACAGGATACCTGGATTGAACAGAGCTTCCATCGTCTGCGTCTCTCGAGGCAAGGTACGCGTCACGTTCGCTTAAAAGTGGGAATTCTTCCATACGCTCGAAGAACATATTGGACCTCCGCTTAGGGCAGCGAGGATTTGCAGACCAGTGTCGTTCCCGTGGGACTGCTCGCAGTATCCAAGAGGTCGGTCCGTGCCGCTGGGTAGTAGGCTCGTCGTCTCCGGGGTGCCTCTGGTCATCGAACCTGGGTGCAAAAAAGTGCAAAAGGATGGCAAAAAACATACAACAGCGGGGATTCGCTAGTGGTCACCCACC